AAAAAAAAAAAAAAGTGAGACGTGAGAACAGCGTTTAGTGTTTGCTTTCCAGCCGGCCGCTAGGAGGCGCTAGAGAGGCCTCGCTGAGTTCCTGCTCCAGGAGCCACGCTGCATCTCAAGACAGAGCCGCCCTAGCTTTGAACTGGGGTCTGTGAGCCTTTGTGCTTTAACCTCAACTTAGTCGCACATCTGTTAGCAGGATGTGTCCAAAAGCGTCCAAGAGGCCTAAGCGAGGTTATTTTGGGGGGTCTGGAAAAGCTAAACATTTTTTCCCGATAAATGAATGGTCATCGCTTCTTCACTTTATGCCATCTCGACTTATGAAAGGTTTGATAGGAGAGTAGGGGCAACGTGTATACGGGAAACACTGAAGATTCAGGTTATGCTTCACGTGTGTGATCCCTCAGTATTTGTGAGTCCTTGGTTCGGCCACTCACTGGGGGAACCCATTCTGGCACCAGGTGTCCTCTACAGGCTCTTTGGAGAGCCATGGCCACGGCCAAGAGTGCTTGCCCCTGTGTCTTTCCCCTGGAGCAAGTGTGTGTTATCTATTCACATGACATCTTCCATCTGTGGGCTCCCTGGTTGGAATCTCAACTCTGATCCTTCTGACCACTTGCTTCTGGCCGTGGGTTCCACTTGTGCAAATTTAGTATCTTAATTTGGTCTGGGAGACTGTCTGTTTTGTGGGTGGTCCGCTTCCTTGTATCCAGCTGGGAAGCTCCCTGCATCAGGACAGTTTCCCACAAGCCACCTCGGTTAAGATCAAGAAGGATGAGGGAAGCAGAAGTTAGCTGCGAGGAGAAGTAACCTGTAAGACGTTGCAGGATGTGGAAGCAGGTACTCTAGGATCTTGTCCAGGGCCATAGGCATCGTCAGTTCCTTTTGCAATGGGTCTTTGAGTGGATCACCCAGTGCATCACCATAGGTGACTGCCATTACCCCCAGGCCTTTCAAAAGTTCCCTTCATCAGAGGAGCACCCAGGTGGCTCAGTCGGTTAAGCATCGGACTTTGGCTCTGGTCACATTCTCACTGTTCGTGAGTTCGAGTCCTGTGTTGGGGGCTTGGAGCCTGCTTGAGATTTTGTGTCTCCCTCTCTCTCTCTACCCCTCCCCCGCTTGCACTCTGTGTCTCTCTCTCTCTCAAGAATGAAGACTTTTTTTTAAAGTTCTTTTCATGAGAACATGCATATCATAAACCAAAGACATTGTTTACAGCCATCTTAGTTTTTAAGATTAAAGTTCTACTTAATGCCTTTTCCGCTAATAACTCATGGGTTATGATTGACCCAGTCAGCTAATAAATTAACACAATCTGCTCTCAGCTTTAACACCTTTCCTTAGGAGCACACAGTTCTGCTTGCGGTTTTTTTTTCTTTTTTCTTGTTCCCAAGGTTGCACAGTAAGTACTATGCGTTCACGCTCCAATGTACCACTTAGGACACGATAGTCTCCATCCTTTACCTTGTGATTAGAGGCTTTAAATATTATTTCATGCCATGTTTACAGCTTTTCTTCCCTGCTTAAATGCCACCTTTGTCATGTTCTCAGCATTTTATGGTATCTTGGCTTAAGTTGTTTCCTAATGTGCTGGTCCAGCTATAAATTTTTCTGAATTTTCCAAACTACTGAGGTTTTCAATCAGTCCTGGAGACGCTGGCCCTTGGCCCAGGTCATTCACTTCCCCTAGCAAATAGTTCTTGCTCAGTCTAGGGGTGGCCCAGTCTCTACCAACAGTTGACTATCCGTAGGTAGATACATGATCTGAACTAGGCCAACATCATTCCTCATGGACTTCAATCAAGGAAATCAGTTCAAAGTGCTCTTGGTAGAGGCCACACTCGGCTGCCAGTGTATAACTTTCTGGTTGCCTTTTGCTTTTTGAATGGTTCATGCCAAGTGTTAATACTATCCAATCAGAGTGAACTTCAAGCAGCTCATTTGCATGTAGTCATTCTTTACTTCTCATCCAGCCAGAGATTGGGTGGCACCAATACCTCATTTGAATACAGCAACTATAAATCGGTCCCTCTTGGTACCAACTGTCATTCTCTTCACTCATAGCAGTGAAGGCTGGATTTATGATGCCTGGCTCTTCTTTTAAGGATTTTGCTATTTCTATAAATGCCTCCCAGAGGGATTTTTCACTACCTCTAAAAAGGACTCTAAGAAAACTTTCACCTCCAAAACTCAGAAGATTTGCAGGAGAGATGTTCCAGAGACCACGTGCCTGGAAGTCAGGATTTGTACCCCATTCTCTCCCGTTGCCTCTCACCTCTCTCTTCCTCCCTCCCACCTTGTCTTTCTCTCTTTCCTTTCCCTTCCCCCTTCTTTCTTTCTCCCCCACAACCCCAGGCTCTCGTTTCCACTGCCTTCTTACACGTCACTTTCCTTCTCTTAGCCTCCAAGAGGGAAAACCCCTTTGCCTGGCCGTCTGGAACCTTACCCTGCTATCTTCACCATGAGACAGGAAAGGTGTTCTGTCCAGGCTCCAGGTCAGAGAGTCTCGTGAAGGACTTCTGTTGGCCCAGCTCTGGTTGCGTCCCCAACTCTCGGACCTGATACCAGGGCTGGGCCATCAGGTAGAGCTCTTCCGTTAGCCGAGTCTGTCTGATACGTGCCTGTGGTCACCTGGAGGGTTCTGGCTAGCTGTTACCATAGATCCAGAGTAGTATAAAGCACTAATCTTGACACACCAGGGAAATCGATTTGCATGGCTACGAACAACCTTGTTTTATGTGTATATATTTTTAATACATATTATATATAAATATATAATATAAAAAATATATCCTATAAAATGTGTATATATTTTTTTCTTGAGAAAGACCTAACCAAGAATCGACCTTGATAAAAATGATAGGTAAGAAGACTTGTACTCAAATAGAATGTATTTATGAGGGAGAGAGCGAATCTCAAGGAGGGTCCATGCCCTGCGCTGAGCCCCACTAGGAGCTCGATCCCACGGCTGTGAGATCATGACCTCGGCTGAAATCAAAGGCTGAACGCTTAACTAACTGAGCCACCCAGGGGCCCTTATGAAAATTAAAATATAATAGGATAGACCAAGGCGTTATTAATAGAATTGAAAATCTCAGAGTATATCTCATGTAATAAAGGTAATTGTTTTATAAATATATTTGTTTCAATTCGTCCTCCATTCTGCTAATATGCGTGGTGCTGTCTCACTGTGGTTTCCATTTCCATTTCTCTACTGTCCAACGAAGTTAACCACCTTTTATATCTTTAGCCACTTAGAATTTCTCTTTCGTGAAGTCGCTGTTCAAGACATTGGCCCATTTTTCTATTGGGTTGTCTGCCATTTCTCATTCTTTTCTCCCCTGTATTTAATTTGCCCATCCATTATGCGAGTCTCTTCTTTTTCTCTTCTTTTTGTTTTCTACAAACTCCGCTTCCTCTCTATATTGTAAATGCCCAGAGGACAAAGCCAGAGTGTTCTCATCTTTGCATCGTGCTAAAACACCTGCGCAGAAATACCTGTTGTTCTGCATTTGGAGCTTCTGTTCATCCGTTAAGGTGGCCCAAGGTTGGGTCCCTGCACTTCTACGGGGCTTTTAAAGATGGTGGGATTTTCTTCTCTAGAACAGTTGCAGCAAAACCAGAGCCAGCTAGGTGTGTGAGAGTCCAGCTCTCACAGCCTACAGCATGTGTTTTACGTGGTAGGAACCAGAATCAATTCCTGTTGGAGGCACTGATGACTATTCGAGAGTCCTGGGAAAACAGGAAGAAGTTCAAACGGTCTTTTTCAACCCCCAGAAAGAAACTTCTTTGGTACGTGAGATCGTTCTACACTCTCTTCCTTGTTATAGCTTCAGTATTCTTCTCCTTACAAATCATCATTTCATTTGAAAGCACCTCTGTGGTCTCCCTTCAGTTCTCGTTACATGCTCCAAGCTAGCTCCTTGTAGCTTCTGGAAGTGCCCGTCTTGCCTCCACTTGAGCTTTTCAATTCTGTCTTGATTTCTAGTTAACCTCATTCATTTAATCCATGCCTGGTCATTTCCTGGTCGTAAAACCCCTGGAATCTAGCTAGGATAAGTAGATCTCTGTTTTGCCTGATGCAAATAATCCTAATCTAAATAATTTGAAAATGGTCTATTCAATTTTAGCATGTGAATTTTAATAGAATTCAACCACATAAATAAACACCCATGTTTCGTACAATGTATACAAACCATAAAAAAGTTAATTCTGTGGATTACAACCTGAAATTTCTGGCCCATGCTGAGCTCTATAACACATGACCATCGCTGCTAGCCGGTCTTCTATGTGTCCATAATCACCCCCACGAAGGTACTTATCAGTGACTGTTTTCACACAGATTTTTATTCATCCAGTATTTCCCAAAGAGGAAACTTCAAAGGCAACAGGGATTGACGTTTCAAGTGTGTCCAGCAGTTGTCAACCCTGGCTGCATGTTAGAAACCCTGCAGCGTGTCTAACAACCAGGGGCACCTGGGCTCCCCCACAGACCAGTTCATTCAGTGTCTCTGCGGGTGGACCCCTCATCCGTGTGTTTTAGAAACTCCCCAGGGAGACCCAACAGGAAGCCAGAGGAGAAACGCTGAGGCCGTGGCCAAGAATATGAAGGAAGAAGGACAATACGGAAAACGTGTCGCAAAGTTAACGGTCAGCATCGTAAGTGTGCAGCTCACTATCCTCAGAGGCGGGTGATGGTCTTCTCTTTGGCCCAGTCCTGGATTTCTGCTTGTCCAAATGTGATGTAAAAAAACATGCCAAACATGTTGACGGCCGCAGATAGGAAAAAGACATTCCTCCATCCAGACACAGAATCCTGGAGGCAGAGAGTGCAGAATGATCAGCCTCGGGTTTCCTTCTCCACCCGTTCTCGAAATCTTCCATCTCGAGTATTGCAACATTGATCTCAAAGTATCTAGGGAATGCTGTGCAATAGCCAAGAAGGTTTTGTGAAATTTTGGGGGGACAGAATGACACCACAACGAACATTGGGTACTGGATTAAGAGAGATTTTTCTTTAAATCAAAATAAGTTAACCTACACTAATGTCCTTCTAGAAATTTGGATCTCAACATTCATGAAAACATCACATTCCTCATTGAAAGTTATGCTTCAAGTGACTTTTTTTTTTTAAAGAAAACATTTATTTTTGAGAAAGAGAGAGAGAGAGAACAAGGTGGAGAGGGACAGAGAGGGAGGAGGCCAGAGGATCCGAAGCAGGCTCCGTGCTGACAGCACACAGGCCGATGTGGGGCTCAAACCCATGAACCATGAGACCGTGACCGGAGCCGAAGTCCGACGCTCAACCGACTAGCCAACCAGGCGCCCTTAAAGTGACATGTTTAAGACCTCACCCTTGCGTTCTCTCTGTTTAGTTTTTGTCTTAGCTGTTGACATCAGTGTCACCAGCCCCACTTGGGTGGACATCTCAACACGGCGTGAGTTGTATTTGGCTGGGATGATCCTTCTCATAGTTTGTAGTTCATTTCTGGCATTATAGTCATGGCGGACTCCTAGCTATTTGGTCAAACATTAACCTGGAAACTAGATCACATGGAGACGTATTAAAAATGAAACGAGGGAGAGACGCCTGGGTGGCTCGGTCGATTCAGCGTCCGACTCTTGATTTCAGCTCAGGCCGTGATCCCAGGGTTGTGGGATCGAGCCCTGTGTCCCGCCCCACACCAAATGTGGAGGCTGCTTAAGATTCCCTCTGTCTCCCTCTGCCCCCTCCCCCACCGTATTCTTTCTCTTTCCCCCCAAAAAAAAAAAAAAAAAAAAAAAGAGAGAGAGAAAAGAAATGAAAAAAGAAAGAAAGAAAACTTTTTTGTAAGATGACTCTTGTCATCCTGCCACCACAGGCTGGCTCCACTTTTCTCTGGGGGCCTCCTAGCCCTCGCTTCCCACTGAGCCAGCCTGACGGCCCATGACCACAGCCATGACCTCTTCACCGTGACTTCGCTTCTCTTTTTTTACAGTGGCCTTGGGACACTTGGTGTTTCCGTTTTGTAATTTTTTTCTAATTAGAATTAGTCTGAACAGACTTCATAATCTTTGTCTCCTGCCCCTCTGTCTTCACCCCTTACCATCCCTTGACGCGTGCCATTCCCTCGGGTCAGAACCAACAACTGCCTCATGCTTTTGCTCCGGGAGGCCACCTGGGCTCTGTTCTCTCCACCTCTGCCCATTCTCATCAAGGTAACATCCAGTCATTTGTAGAGGCTCAGCTTATACTGTTCTTTCCCTGGGAAACCCGACCTAACAAGACTGTCTTTCCGAGTCCCCTGTGAGTAGAGTGGTTGTGTTTGACACCGTGCTTGTTGTCTCGGTCGGACCGTACAGTCGTGGAGGGCGGGGGCCCCGCCGTGATGCCCCAGCGCCTCAAGCGGTACCTGCTATTTGCAGACTTCAATAAACTGGCCAACCTGGCTGATGAGGAATCCGGTGGCTGTGGAAGAGATGATCCCCGCGATGAGCCCGAAGCCCCTGGAGATTCCCATGAGGAAACTTGCGTATCTGTGGGGTGAACATTTCACAGATGGTTTCCTTTTTATTTTCTGTTGAATTTCATCTAGTTAATTAATGTATTTATTTTGGAAGGAGAGCCAGAGAGAGAGGAAGGGAGAAGGGCAGAGAGAGAGGGAGAATCCCAAGCAGGCTCCACACTGTCAGGGCAGAACCCGACACGGGGCTCGAACCCATGACCCTGGGATCATGACCTGAGCTGAGATCAAGAGTTGGACGCTCAGCCGACTGAGCCACTGGGGCGCCCCAACAGATGATTCTATATAGAAAGCTGTCTAAGGCTTTTCAGCAACTCAGCTTTAAGGCAGTTCGGTTATTACAGCAAAGTCATTTTGCTTAACGCTGTGTTTTGTTCACCTAGAGACATTCAGGGCAATGTCTGTTTGCCAACCCTGAAATCATCTCTCTGCCAGGTCAACAACCAGGGATGACCTCAGTCTCCCCGGAGACCAGGATTCACCCCGATCC